ATGTTTGTTTGTTTGTTACTTCCAATTTTATACTAATGATGTATGAAATTAAGCTAAGTATATATGTTTTTAGGGTTTTCTAAATGGGTAAAAAGACACTAGGGAAGTGACTTACTCCTAGGTGAGTATCTAACAGGATCTAGAGCTCAGGGCAATAATGTTATAGTTGGGATCATGATATAGCCAATGCACGAAGTTACTCACTCTACACCTCTCGGTAGTAAGAGTGACCTTGCCCTAATTTGATTTCTCAAGCCCAATTGGGTGTTCAATTTGTGCAAGCAATGTTGGCTCAAGTTGGGTATTACTATCTCTAGGTTTAACTCTTTAATTGGGGCTATTAATCTCTTGAATACACCCCAATTCCTTGTTGGCCTGAAATTCCTAGACTTAGACTTTCTTTCTCAAGAAGAGTCTAATTCAAAAAGGCACAAATTAGTATTTGCAACCACCCATTCAACATAGAAAGCACAAATTAGGCCAAATAACAATCACTCATAAACATCTAAGCCCTAAAATAAAAGACCCATTAAATACCCACATTAGGGTTGAGCCACAACCTTAGCTAATGGGTTTAGCTACTCATAATTGAAGATAAAATCATAGATTGAGATGAAAAATAATCCATAAATTATAATTACAAGATAAGATACTAAGATTAATTGCTAAGTAAGCTACAAAATTACTAAAAATGGGAAAAAGTCACCGTTCACGTGCTCATTATCGATAAGATGACCTAAAAATCTAAAAAGAAAGTATTTATACATAGCTAAATTTTCCGGATAAAAATGCCCCTAACGGAGGTACCGCTGATAGCGAAAAATGGACCGCTGCAGTGGTGAGGCTACCGCCGACCGCAGTCTTCAGCTTTTGCTCAAACTCCAGGCTCTCTGAACTCCTCCACCATGGACCACAGTAAAAGGACCGATGTCGCTGTAAGGGTACCACGGTCGCATAAAATCATCGCAGACCACGGTAACTTGAAATGCCTCAACTGGTATCTCTTTGAACCTTTCCACCGCGGAACGCAATAAAAGGATCACGGTCGCGGTTAGTCTTCTGCGGCCGCGGTGGATTTTCTGTTATAGCACTGCTTTGACTTGGTTTTGAATTTGTGCATGTTTCACTCCTTTTTGAGCTGGTTATGACATCCTTGTCTCCTTTTGACCTAACAGTGCAAACAAGCACAACAAGTTAGCTTTTGGGGAATACTTGTACACATTTTAGTCCAAAACTCAAGCAAAAAAGAGCATAAACTAGACTAGAATCCCTAGTTATCAACACCGTCGGCCAAAACAGGGAGTGTGATTTCTCCAGATGTTCGTTCAACTGCATTGTTAAAACCTGTTAGCATGATGCAACGCAACACCATCTTATCCTCAAGTTTCATTTGTGCAAGTACCCAAGGGTGGATAATGTATGTGCCGCTCCCATATAATGCATCTTACATTTGTATCTAAAATTTATAAAATGATAACAAGGGAATCACAGTGAGGGAAAACCAATCCAAACTGTGGGTATCTGACTTATCGAAGATGATACTTTCTTCGAGTTCATCATACCGCTCGTGGGTGATTGACCATTTGAGATTATGGGTTGTGGTGAACTTTACGCTATTGATAGAAGCGTCATCGCCACCACCGATGATCATTTGGATGGTGCAGGTTGGTGAGGGCGGCTTCGACGGTCCCTGATGTTGATCGCGTCCTCTGGAAAAGTTGGTCCTTCCGCGATCGCTCAGTAACTCCTTGAGGTGTACTTGTCAAAGCATGTTTACGACCTTCTGTCTTAGGGCAATGCAGTCCTTGGTTTTGTGCCCTCGTTCTTGGTGGAACTCGCAAAGTGCATTTGACTTTCTGGTGTTTGGATCTGACCTCATCTTTTGAGGACACTTTACCTTCGATCCGAGCTTCTCCAATGCATAGATTATTTTTGAAGGTGACACACAAAAATTGTGAGCGGATAACAAAGGGGGCATACCTCTCTCATTCTGATGAGTCCCTGTCCTTAGTCTAGGTGAGCCTTCTTCGTGGCAGGAAGGGGGTGCAATGGAGCTTCTAATGTATGGTAGATGTCGTTCCTGGTTGGGTCGTGGAGCCATGAGTCCCTTCTGGTATCGTTTCTTTAATCTTTTCTGGACTCGGATTGTAACGAGGTCAATCGGTGGGTTGGCCCATTGAGGCCATCCTCGTATGCTCTAGCCTCGGCATAATAGGCATTGTGTATTTCATCCCAAGTAGTTTGGGGATACTTCATAAGCCGACTCAATAACTTTCTCGTCACCCTTGAACCATTCCTCCTCAGCCTGTTCTAGAAAGTTGCGACCATTCCTTCCAATACGTTCGGTAAGGTCATTCTTACTCGGATGAATCGGGCGAGAAAGCCCCTTAATCCTCTCCGGGCGCCTGTTTGATATCGGATACAGCGTTCACTTTTGCCTCCGCCTTTTTGGCCCCATCATGGGCCGTTACGAACTTGTCGGCCATCTCTTCGAATGTTTCGATAGAACGCGGGGGCAGTTGTGAATACCAAGTCAATGCTGCTCCGGTGAGGGTTTCGCCGAATTATTTCAACAAGGTGGAGGATACTTGTTCCTTGGCGAGCTTATTGCCTTTTACAGCGGTGACATAGTGAGTCACATGGTCTTTGGGATCGGTCGTACCGTCATATATTTTCAGGTAGGGCGGCATTTTGAAGGTGTTTGGTATGGCATGCGGGCAGCTTCATCACTGTATGGTTGCTCGACAAACCGACCAGCATCTCTTTTTGGCAAGAGTTTTGGGGCACCCAGTATTTTGTCGACCCTTTCTTGGTGCTCACTCATTTGGTCCCGAAACACTCTATTCTCGTTATCCATTTCCTCCACCTTTTTTCAAAATGGCTGTAAGGGTGTCGTCACCTGCATTATTAACAATGTGAGTAATACCGGTTATTGGAGGAGGGAAAAGGGCCATGTTGCTCGGCCATTGTTGGTGTAATACAAGTTCTTGTGTTTTCTATTACTATATCCTGAGCGGGCTTATAGAGGATGATGGTTAGCATGTTAGTTAGCCAAGCCTTAAGGATCTTTTTCACTGCTATTGGTATCTCTTCCGTCATGGACGTGGAACTCCTTTACCGCGGGACGTTGCGATACTACCGTGAGGGAGAGGTGACCCACCTCGCCTAGGAGAGGCATTGGGAGTTATGTCCTCACCTTCTATCTCAGAAACCTCATTGATAGTGTTCAGGAGATTGGTGGTGAGGTCGGTCATTACCCTCGTTCTTTCTTCTCCGTTACCTACAGGGGCGGATCCAACCTATTGAATGTGGGTTCCCGTGAACCCAATAGCTTTTGCATATACCCTGTATATATATTAAAAATTCACTAAATATCCATAAATATTTGATTGTGAATCCAGTTATTTATTGTATATTTACTTAAAATCGTTATAGGAACCCATAAACTTTAAATCCTGGATCCGCCTCTAGTTACCTGCCATATCAGATCTGTGTGTACAAGGAAAAGGAATTTTGTTCTTTGTTTATTTTTTGTTAGCAATCTGTGCTAGTTGTAGATGTAGAAGAAACTAAAAATTTAACTAGGAAATCCCCACAGACGACGCTAAATTGTTTGACAAAAAAAAACTTTCAGTTAAACTATTTAATTTTATGTAATGGAGGGTTAAACTTAGCTAACAATAATAACTCTAGATTTAGAACTTGTCGGCAAGGATAACGTAGGACAAAGTCGGTGGAAGACTAAGGGTAATGCACATTTAATATTCCAAAAGATGTGAGTGAGCAATAATGGAGGGGTATCAAGCAATAAATAGCAATAAATAACATAAATGTAAATTGGAGAAACAGTTCACCCAATAATGAATGAGATGAGTGATTGTTCCTTCTGACAATGATGAATGACAGATAAATCATCGAATGTTCAAACAATTCTCGGATCTGATGAAATGATATGGGATGATGTGTGCGAGAATATTGCAAAAGGTAAAATTTGTATATTTGCTATAGAGAAAGAATCTTATTCTGAAAAGTATTTTTATCAAGTCAATGTTACACGCCCCACACTATTGTCTCCTTTTCTATTTATATGAAACATATCCCTAACAAACCCTAATAGTACAAGGGCAGAGAACATTCAATAGACTATTCTCTTTAATATCTTATTACCAAAACTAGTCGTTATTGTTCTGGCCTTGGTGCTCGACCTCGACCGTTGTTGACAACCCGGCCACGAATCTTACTGCTTCCTGGTCAACCTTGACCGCATCTTTTTCCTTAATGCTGTTTTACGCCAAATTCTCTTAGGGCAGATTCTGGCTTATACATTAATATTCATTTATACAATTATACTACTACATTCATTTGAATTTATGTGAACTCATTTGACTCATTACGGAGTTTAAGAAAAAAAAGACTTTTTACTTATAATTTAAAATGAAGCACATATATTTTGTAGGGTTATAGATAATTGTATAAAGATAAATTATTTTTCTAAATAGGGAAATGTGCCTTTTTTGGGATGTACTAAAAAATGATTCACATAAATCGAGACGGAGTGAATTATAAAATTAGACAAAAGGGGAGTACGGAAACGATGTAGATGTGGTATTTTGATCTAACTTCAAGGCGACATTTGACTGCCCACTGTGCCCAGTCTTGTATCCCAAAAATTCCAAACCTCTCTCCTTCGGTAAGACATTACGTCATAGTTTACCGTGTCAACGCTTCGCCCCTGCCATGTCATCAAGTATTACCCGAAACCCGACCCGTATAACTGCCACCTCATCTCCAAACCCACTAGAAACCAATATGTCAACTTCACCATCCAAATTCCCACGTGCCCACAAAAACCAAATTGATTTAACATGCCAGCTAAGCTAAAAAACAAACCCGTGTACCAAAAGTGTATTACTATAACTTGGCTTATCCACGTTGTTCATTTTCCTTCTCGTATAAAAGCAGAGAACTAGTAAACCAGAAAACTATCCGAAACCCAAAGACCAGCATTTTCACCTTTATTTCAACCATGCAGAGGTCAACCAAGAGAGCTAAACAAGAGGAAACTGCTTCAGTCAACCATCTAATTTCACAGCCAAAGTTCACAGATGAACAAGAGTTTTCTATCATGGTTGCTGCTTTGAAAAATGTTATAACAGGTGATACAACACAAGAATTTCAATATATAATTTCATCTTCTTCACCTTCTACGTGCATGTCAAGTTTAGAGCCTCCTCTCTTTCGCGTTCCAACAGAACCAGAGCCATGTCAGTTCTGTAAAATAAAAGGGTGTTTAGGTTGCAACTATTTTGGAGCTCCAGTTCCTGATGATAATAACAAGAAGACAAAGACTGTAGTTGTCAAGAAAAAACAGAAGAAGAATTACAGAGGGGTGAGACAGAGACCGTGGGGAAAATGGGCTGCAGAAATTAGAGATCCAAGAAGGGCAGCTAGAGTATGGCTTGGGACTTTTAATACAGCAGAAGATGCAGCTCGAGCTTATGATAAAGCTGCTATTGAATTTAGAGGTCCTAGAGCTAAGCTTAATTTCTCATTTGCTGATTATACATCAATTCAACAGCAGAATGCAACTACTAGTACTACATTTTCTATATCTCAGCAACAACAAGAGCCTGTGCATGAGTTACAGCTGGGAAATAAAACAGATTTTGGTATTGGAATCGAAGAAGAATTCTGGGATCAATTAATGGCATCAGACAATGAGATTCAAGATTGCTTGAGGATGATGGATTTCAATGGCGAGTCTTCTTATTCTGGTGGAGGGAGCATTGCTCATAGCTTCTGATTTGCAATTTCAAGAATTGGAAAGGAACAGAGAAAAGGAAAAAATTAAATAAATCAAAGTGGACTAAGGTGTCTTGTGTGCCCATTTAGTTTTATCAAATTTGGGCTACTGAATATTTCCCATTTTGGATGTACTACGTTTTTTCTGGTTTTTTAGGATTTTATCATAAATGTACTTGAGGATTGTACAAGAATTTTGGAATTTGTAAGGGGAATGACTTACATGTGAATTAAAACTCCCAAAACTTGGAAAGATTAATGAAACACGATACATCCTTCATTTCAAATTTTCGATCGTCCTTCATTTCAAATTTTCGATCGTGCTCTCTAAATACATAAGTTACCTCTGAACTATGGACCAAATATTACACATTTTTTACAAACGCTAATCATCTTACACACTCAATTTTTAATTTTCAGAGTGTGCCTAAGACACAGCTGACACGCGCGTGTTTTACATGTAAAAGAGGCGAGTGAATGTAACATGTCCAACCTTTTTTATTTTCTTATTTTCCATTGTTTTCTTCTTACCTTTTTCCCCAGCCCCTTCCACATTTTATTCTCCTCCGAAATAGGAAAGAAATCATCCACTACCATTCTCCATCATTAATTAACGCCATCATACAAGCAACACTTCAGATCTTTAAACTCCAGTTCTTTCATCTTCCAACTCTATTTTCCTCTCACTACTAAACCATTATCATGTCATCTCCCACCCCAGAATCCTTTACCCCCAATCCCCAAATCAAATTCCTAGTCGTGACACGCTGAAATGTGAGTCTAGTAGAGGTTGTGTTTTCATTTATGGCTCCGAAACTCTGATTTTGATTGTTTTCCCGCCAAAATCCATCGCCTAATTCTCAATATTTGCTCTGCAATTCTGAACAAACTTTTTGTCTCTACAGTATACATTCACAAGATCTCAAGCTGGAGTAAATATAAAAACACGATTAAAATCTGAAAAAATGGTACTTGGGGATAGTACTAGAAAAAATTTGGATTTTGTACGGGAAATGACTTACACATGGGGCCTGAAAAACTGACTGACACTACTAAAAATCACCTGTTTACCGACGCAAGTTACCGGCAAGTTACCGATGGATGTCCGACATCCGTCGGTAACAAGGCTTTACCGACGGACTTCCATCGGTAAGTGGTTGGTAGGTAAATCCTTCCTCGGTAAAATGTATCGATAGATTCCGTCGGTAAGTACCGACGGACCCCATCGAAAAGCCATCGGTACATTTCTGACAGAAGTTGGTCAAATAATTTTACTTACCGACGGATATCCATCGGTATATTAAAAAGAAATATAATAATAATAATATCATAATAATAATTTAATAATACCGACGAACACCATCGGTAAGTTTAGAATTTTAATTTAGTAATACAAAAATTAAAAATATGAATAAATTCATGTTCCGATGGCTATCCGTCGGTATTTTCAACAAAATTTGAAAATTTGGTTCAAGTATGCCGACGGACTCCCTCGCTAATTAAGAATTCTTGATTGAAAATAAATAATTGTTCTGACGGACTCTATCGGTAAGTCCCTCGGTAAATCTGGTACATCTTTGGCAGGAAATGCCTATTTTTTGTTGCACCACCTGCCAGTAGAATATTACAATACAAACCAAAATACAACCGCAATAAAACTCAACTTAACAACAAAATTTTATAAACTATATCCAAACATCCAAATCATCCCATCAAACATCCAAATATCCAAATTATCCCATCAAACATCAAAATTATCCAACCAGACATCAAAATGTAACATTCAAAGTTAACACCCAATTAAACAACAATCCAACCAAACATACAATCACTCATCTTCGGTTTCCCCCTCATCTTCTTCATCATTTGTATTATTTTCATCACTTTCATCCTCTTCATAAATGTGGCTTTTTGGTGGAGAGCGGGGCAGGCCGATTAAGTGGTTCACTTGAGCCTTGAGTGAATCGATGTCATTTCTAAGTGCGTCTCTAATTTTCTCTTCATGCTTTCTTTTTTGTCGTTCATCACAGTTCTTAAAAAGTTGTTGAATGGTTCGACGCATCTCCTCAAGGTCTTCATTTTGCACGGTGGCGGATGTCCCAATACCTTGTAATCCACAAAAGAGAAGTGAAAATAATAGACTAGCCAATAGTCACTAACAAAATAATCTCATGCTTACAAGAATCTTTCTATATACAATGTAAAATTAGATATTAAACTACAATACAAAACTATTTATAGATTTCTCATTTCTCCTCTATAGTTATATCTTCGATGACTTTTAGAGCTGATAAATAATGTTGTATTTTTCAGAGGTAAAAGTTCCAACTGCAATATTAGCAGCTGAGCATGACCATATATTTCCGCCTGACCAAGCAAAGCAGCTAGGCGATGCTTTATCTGCAAAATCCGAGGTAATGTGGTATCTCTTAAAGAATTTAGGTTTTTTAAATGGATTGAAGAAGATCATTATATGCAATAAATTAACTACATTAAAATAAAGAATGGTAGAATAGGATAATTTGTCATTAGCAATGTCCATTGATATAGTTCAATATCAAAAAAGGATGAAATATATATTGAAATCATCTGTATTTCCTAAAGGGAAACTAACTTTTCTTTTTGATGTAAAAAGGGGGACTAATAACTGTTACCTATTGTGCAGATTGAGAGCTTAGAGGCGTTTGATTCTGCTCCAAAAATTGAGAGAAAGAATCCAATAGCGACAAGATTACGTGAAGTCATAAACACACGACAAGAAGATGAACACTGTCCTAATTTTGAGATTTAGGGCAGAAATAATTCGAAAATAGAGAGAAAAAAACTCACCGAGATAAAGTTGCCTGAAGGTCATCGATGGCCGCTTAGGACATCGGCGAGAGCGCCGAGTAGAGAGTGTAAAATCTGGAGGGAGTTAGCGCTTCCGTCTGGAAAAGTAAAAGCGTAAACAGGGAGAAAGGTGTTAGTAGGGTTTTGTTCTTTTGCCCAATTCCTTTTCCCGCCTTCTAATTACAAGCTAATGTTAAAAAAATAATTACTATTAATAATTTAAAATATATCATAAGTTTAATGTAATTATTAATTGACAAGCTAATTACTACTAAGCCACTTTTACCCACTTAAATATCAATTAATAGTCTAATCAATCACTAATATTACTTAAGGATATCACAAATGCACTTCTACTTAGTGTAGTTATTCATTTTATAAACTAATCAATGAGTAAGTATTTCTTAAGAAATTGCTAATACACCTCTACTTAGTAGAATTTTCAATATAAAAGCTAATCAATCACTAATATTAGTTAAAGATATACTATTAATATACTTTTACTTAGTAATTCATCTTTTAGCATTAATTAACAATAAAATTAATATTAACAATTTAAAATAAATCATAAGATAATGTAATTATCAATTTACAAGCTAATTACTACTAAATCACTTTCACATAGTTAAGTATCAATTAATAATCTAATCAATCACTAATATTACTTGAGGATATCACTAATGCACTTCTACTTAGTATAGTTATCATTTTATAAACTAAACAATGAGTAATATTTCTCAAGAATACTGTTAATACACTTCTACTTAATATAATTTTCAGTGTTTGAGCTAATCAATCACTAATTTTTCTTACTGGTATTACTAATACACTTCTACTTAATATAATTTTCAGTGTTTGAGCTAATCAATCACTAATTTTTCTTACTGGTATTACTAATACACTTCTACTTAGTGTAATTCTCAATGTATAAACTAATCAATCAGTAATAGTTCTTAAGAATACTATTAATACACTTCTACTTAATTAGTTTATTATTAATACATGGGCTAATCAATCATTAATATTACTTAAGGATACCACTAATACACATCTACTTTCTGTAGTTATCCATTTATAAGCTAATCAATCGCCATTATTTCTTACTGATATATTTCTAATACACTTCTGATGAGTGTGAGAACTAAGAATATTACTAATACACTTCTACTATATAGTAGAATATATATATATATATATATATATATATACACGTATCTACTTAGTGTCTACTTTAAGGATACCACTAATACGTATCTACTTTTTTAATTATTAATTTATAACCAAATTAATCGCTAACACTTCTCAGATATAAGCTAATCAATTAGTAATAGTTCTTAAGACTACTACTTATAAACTTTTACTTAATCAATGTAACTACTAATAGATAGGCTAATCAATCATTAACATTACTTAAACATACCACTAATATGCATCTGCTTTATGTAATTATCACTTTATAAGCTAATCAATCGCTAACATTTCTTACTGATATTACTAATACACTCCTACTCAGTGTAATTCTTAATGCATAAGCTAATGAATCAGTAATAGTTTTTAAGACTATACTAATACCTACTTAATTAGTATAATTATCAATATATAGGCTAATGAATCACTAGCGTTACTTCATAATACCACTAATATTACTTAACGGTACCACTAATAAACCTCCACTTACTTTAATTATCAAACTAAAGATAAACAGTCACAAATATTTCTCACAAATATCATTAATACACTTCCATTTAGTGTATAATTATCAATGTATCGGCTAATCAATCACTAACGTCACTTATATAAGGATATCACTAGTTCACTAATTGTTAACATTACTTAAGGACACTGTGCATTAATACACTTCTACTTACAGTAATTATCAATTTATAAGATAAACCATCACAAATATTTCTTACGGAAACTATTAATACACTTCTTCTTAGTGTGTAATTATTAATGTATAGGTTAATCTATGTAGTTAAGGATACTACAAATTCACTTTTTCTTTGTGTGATTATAAATCACTAAGCTAATTGCCACTAATATATTTTTAAGTAATGTATTACCTCCACTTAGTATAAATTTCAATAAATAGGCTAATCAACCACTAAGATAATTAAGTAAATACTTATCGAGGAAGTCCGTCGGTTCTTTTTTACAAAAATTAAAAATTAAAAAATTCAAAAGTTCTCAGAGACTCCGTCGGAAAGTCCTTCGGAATACCAACGGAAAAAAGTCCGTCGCTACTGTTGCGTCGGTAAACAGATATTTTTTAGTATTGTGAGAAATCAGCTGGCGATTTTGATGGCCGCCAACCAAGGAACTTCACCCCCACTTAATTAAGAATATCAACGAAATACAATGTTGTTAAAGGCACGTGAATAAATTTAAAGTAAATAAAAGGGAGCATTTTAATATGCTAAAGGTAAATTGACAAACAACGTTCACACCACAAGAAGTAAGATTGTTTATTCACTGCCATTAATATTTCCGGGTTTTCAAATTCGACTTGTTTTTAGGATTAAGATGAATTGGATTGACTCAAGGATACATTAAAACTCAAACAAATTCGCTGAATATCATGTTTACTAGGTACTAATATTCTTATATAAAAAAAATGGACAAAAAAATGCATCTTAAAAGTTACTCAATATATAAATATGACCAAGTCGTGGCTAGACAAAAGGGTGAAGTCAAACACCTTAAATTAGAAAAATATATCGTGATGATAAAAAATCATAATATATGTATAGGTTAAGGTTTACTTTTCAAATATGTATAGATTAAAATTTGGGAAAAGGGTCAAATATACCCCTCTATTTTCGAATATTATCTACATTTAACCTTCATTATATTATCGGGCCAAATTTATCCCTACTGTTATACTATCTGGCCAAATTTACCCCTATCATCACCAAACATTTAAAAATTATCCCTTTATCTGTTAAGTAATCCAAAATCTCCCAAATTCCTTTTACTTAAATCATTTGTTGTCCTTCTTGCTCCATTATTTTCAAAAATTACTATTGATGTGAATGTTAAAGTTACTAGACTATATAAATTATTTATAAATTTTATTTTAATTATCAATGCACCCACTTCTCTTCTTGTAATAATGGGTTTGGAATTTATTTAAAATTTTATTTATTTCTCAATCATATACACACCGTAAAATTTAGTGGGTCTATTTATTGTGTATTATATGTAGTTGATCATCATGTATGTACATATTTATTCAAATATATTTTGTCATTACCTGATTAATATAGAGTTCGATCGACTAACTTAAGAGTGCACAATGTGTGGGCATTTGATTAAAGCAAAGTTGAATTCGACAATGTAAAGTCTCTGAGGAACCTCAACTTCAATCACTAATACTTGCAAAGTCTCCATATATTTGGTGCAACAAATTCATTAAAATTGGAATGTTGTAAATACTTTTAGAATTTAGAAAAGCTACCTAATTTAGATTTTTCAATTTACTATACTTTATTTATTAACAGTTATATTATTTAATATTTTTTTTCTCCAATTAAGAAAATAGGAAGCTGTGGAGATCGAGTATTAGGGTTATAAGTTAGGAGATAGTTGAGGCTTTCCTTACTTCGTCCCTTTGTGAGGCTAGTCTGGTATTTTTTTTCGAAGTCAGCTAGTGATAATGTTGTGTCTTACTACTATTTTACTACTATGTCGTTTTTCATAGCGTGGGGTCTATACATTGTCTATCGTTTTTCCTTTGCATCTACTTTCTCATTTTCATGATGTTATTTTTCCTATATTTTCTATTGGAGATATTGGTATTGTGTCTTTGTGTTTTTGTCTTCTTGGGCCGAGGGTCTTTCGGAAACAGCCTCCCTACTTCTTCGGGGTAGGGGTAAGGTCTGCGTACACACTACCCTCACAAGATCCCACTAGTGAGATTTTACTGGGCCGGTGTTGCTGTTGTAAGAAAGTAGATAAATGCTAATTATTTCAAAAATAGTGGACCAAGAAAAAGAATTAGAAACTTAATTAAAATGATTTGGGAGATTCTGGGTCACCTAATAGACTGAGGGGTAATTTTTTAAAGTTTGCTGATTGTGGAGGTAAATTTGGCCCGATAGTATAACAGTTAGAGTAAATTTAGCCCGATAATATAACGAGGTTAAATGTGAACAATATCCGAATGTATAGGGATATTTTTGGCTCTTTTCCCTTAACTTTGATCCTCAAAATAATTGATCTTGATTTCGCCGACAAATTCAAATCATGGAGAGAAAGTTGAAGAAAACAATCAGGGACAAAAAAGATAGGAATAAGTGCTTACTCAGCCTAAAGAAAAAGGAAAAATAAAAAGAAATAAAAATAAAAATAAAATGAGAGAAAGAAGGAAAAAGGAGGAGACAGTAATAAGCAAGATAAAGACGTGAGAGAAAAGGACAGTCAATGGAACGGAGTTAAGTTACTCGGCATTGTTGACTCTATAACGCGTACGAATTTGATGTTTTGACACATCGATCCGAGTCCCGACTCAGCCCCTTTCCATAGACCATGGCGAGCTTCATATAACTAAATAATATTTTTTATATCTGATTTTCCTATTGAGAATGCAGATACTGTCTTTAAGTATACAGGTAAAACCGAGTCTATTGAACACCTTCGTTTTCCGGTAAGACAAATGGAGCAGGGACATGATTGTAAGAAATCGGAATCTAGGTGAGGAGCCCCTCGTATCGGGGTTCGAGTAAAACACCTGCCCTCGGAGGCATCAGAACCACGTCCTCAGGGTCCGGCTCGAGCCTCAAGGTTTCGAAGAACATTATCAAATGACTGCACACGACTAACGAAGGGCCGTGATATCCATGCCCAACCGGATATCACGGCGTGAATCTCGACCGTATCGGCATAAAATTAGTGATTAGCGAAACAGAAGATTTTTACCTTTCATAGAATTGTACTTAGGATAAAATTCCCCTACTATATAAAGAGGGAAGCTTATTATTCATATGACATATTGGAATATGCATATCAAGGTAGTTTACTCTTATTCTCTCTATTATTCAAAATTCTTATTTTTGTTTATCAGTTCTTCATAAGGATAAACTCGGGATAGAAGGCAGGCTCCTCATTAAGCCATTCACCGAGCTCGGGATCACTCTTATTATTGGTTTCACAATTTATT